CAATTGTATTTTTTTATTATATTTTGTATTTCCTGTATATAGTTAACTTTTTGTAAATAGGTAATTTCACGCCCCTCATGGAAACCAGCCTTCCAACGGCTGTTGAGGCTAGCGTGGTTTAAATAAAGTTTTGTATGTATGTATGTAAACAGAAAGGGGTATCGGTTCAGCTCTGCTGTAGGAAGTGTACGCGATCGTACTTGTCCGAAGCTAATTTCATACGCCAAGCTAATTTCAGTGTACAATCGTACGTCCGTAAGCCTATTTTTTAAGCCCTGCAGTGTTGCGATAATTTGTGATCAAAACACAATCAAGCGCATGCAGTATCTTAATGTATTAATATCATTTTAGTCAATTTACTCGATTCTGATTGGTTAAAAACCGTGCCGATTAAACATTAATCGGCACAGTGTGCCGATTACAGATTAATCGGCACGGATACGAGCCCGCGTGGATCATGCGTGGAGTGAACACAAAATGTCAACTTGAAAACAGACAACTTTAGTTGAAAATGTACATTTTCTGAGCTCTTAGTTTACAATGAACTCTTATTTATGCTTTCATAACGAAGAAAAAAGAAGAAATAAAGATTATTCACAGTTTTTACAGGTATGAATTGAAAATTAATGTCAGACAGTGCTCTCAAAAATTGACCACATGCAGAGGCGCGTGTATGCATGGCTGTGCTCGCTTGAATACAAATACAATGTTTCTTATCATTGATTGCTCGTGTAAAATTGACTGTAAAATAATATTAATAGGAAATTACACTTGTTCTCGAAGTATTAATGAAAAATCACACTTGTGTTCGGCGAAATATTTATAATACCGCTCGTGCTACGCACTCGCGGGATTATGAATATTTCGCCAAACACGCGTGCGATTTTTCATCAATACTTCTCGAACCGTGTAATTTCCTATACTAATTTCATTACGCGAATGTACAAGTAAAACCACGCATGTTTCAATGCTTCGAATGCAGTTTTATGTAACACTGACACAAATACAACGCCTGACCAAGTTCCAGTCCTGATCGCGCGCTTTCGTTTTAAGCTTGCACTAGGCGAATTTGCTCACGCGAACAGTAAAAGGGAGGAATTGATCCAACTTTTTCGCGGCGAATTTTTTCGCTGACCTATCAAATTGCCAAGCCCAAGATTTGTTTTTCGCTTCGCGCGAACAAATTCGCCTAGTGGGAAATGGACAATAAGCTGGATTTCCACTTTCGAGATTTCGCTGTCGAAATTTTTAGCTCAATTTCTTCTGAATAGACCTTATGCATAATGACGTCACAAGGCTCAATGCCCAGGAAGATCTCGATAGTAGCCATTTTCAATTGTTTAATTTTCCCGGACGATGACTACTAAGACCAGCATTCCTCACGGGCATCAAGCCTTGTGACGTCATCATGCATAAGGTCTATTGCGAGCGCCGAGCGGTCAAGTAGAGCTGATTTATTCGGATGGTCCCAATTCAAAAGAAATGAAGTGAAATATTTCGTCGAAGAAATCCACCTTTACCTTATTGCAAAAGGCTGAAATCTTATTGCAAAAGGCTGAAAACTAACGATGTTCTTTTTAGTACTTACTGTAATTGTTCAAAAGTGGACTACTGTGTGATTGTTCAAAAATGGACAATTGTGTAATTTCAAAAGCTACACGTGAGCGCTGCAGGCGTACATGCACATTGCATGTAATGATGCCTGCATTGAAATGCTCTTGATAATGCGACAGATTTTTTTTGTAAAAAATTGTAAGAAACCTTTTATTTTCGAAGCCTCTTCCTTGAAGTCTTTTCATGCAAGTTATTTCCAAAAAATATTATCCTCGAGGGATAGTTCCTCTTTATCATCATCATAGCGAGAGATGATGGATACGCCCCTGTTAACCTCAGGGAGTTAATTTAGCTCCCAGTAGGGTTATTATGAGCCAAATTTAACTTCAAATGTGGAGTAAAATTGGGTTCAAAATAACTCTGCTGGAGTTAAATTAACTCCAAGAAAATAACAGCGAGTATACGCATAACGCTTGCTGACTTGGCAAAATCTGGTCAGAATTCTTATGTCAGATGGATAAGAGTTAGAATGTGAAAATATATGTTTTTATAGCATGTTCAATTTTGACGTTAACTATTAGTTTTAATTCAATAGTTCCTAACTTAGAGGACCGGCCAACTTTCTGAAAGCTATATTCTGATGGGACTTTTTGTTACGAACTGGCATCTTCTTGTAGCTTACACATTGGTGAACTAGACTAACCTTGACTTTACAGCCGAAAATTTGAGAATTATATTAGTTTGCCTAATAAAGCAGTAAGTTGACTGACAATTTAAATTTTCCATGGCCTTCCACAACTAAAAGAGATTTTACAGGATTCCCAGGCCATGATTTTGAAATAGTGAAATTCCCTGACTTTTTCATGCTCAATCCTGTATTATTCACCATTCCTAATCTTTGTCTTAATTTCAGTTTTTAGTCTTAAAATCTTGCCTATTTTCGTGTCATACCATAGGTCTGGGTATTGGGAATGGAATATAATGGAACTGTGTGCGAGTTCTGAATGCAAAACCCAACAACGTAGATACTTTGCAACTCTTACCTGACTCAAATGATAGTACAGGATGATAAGACAAATCCACAAGTGCAACCCTATCTCTTATGTCTTGTCGTTGTGTCAATTTCGGCAAGTTCGGAGAACTTCGCCTACATAGTACACAAGGTGTCCAGGAGTCCCCGCACGAACAAAGCATACTTGCACTTGGTTTCTCGATTTTAGACAAATTGAACAATTTCCTCTTTTGCCATTGCTGTACAGATCTAGTTCTGGCAGCCGTACAAGAGTTGATATGATCATTATCATGTTGGATGCTAGATTTTTGAGCGTTCAGGTGCAAGTTCATTTTATCCTTCTCTGCCAGCAGTGGGATGTTCGAATTTCGTGGAAATGCATTGTCAGGTGTTATTGAATTCAATATCATACTGCTACTCAAGTCCGGATGAACTTTCCGATTGTTTAGCATGTTTGCAGTGTCCACGAGTAGATCATTTGCACTTTTGTTTGCCATGGAAACCATTACTTTGTTGTCCACAACATGTCTTTGTTTGTCAAGATGTATTGGAGTCTTTTTAACACGAACAGCTTTGTAAGTCTCCTCACATCTACGTATCCTCCGTTCGATGTCTATGACTTGTGATCGAAGCCAGGTCCATTTTGATGCTATACTTCCCCGGTCAGAATAGAACTGGGTTAAAGGACTTGACGATCTGAAAAATAATTCAATTACATATCAAAACAAACGTTATAATATTTATAGAATATGGGAATAGAATTTGCGAACTTTTACTGAATACTATATGCGAACTTATTTCAGAATCATTCTCAGATCTCATATTTATTGCAGAGTATAATACAACGAAAAATGTATTGTTTCAAGTGCCGAGCAGGATATTTGTTCTCTCGAGTTAAGTGGTCACAAAAAGTTCTTTGTAGTTTGTAGTAGAGCGGCAGTCTGGAAACCTAAAGATGCAATTTTCAATCCCGTCAAAATAAATATTAAAATATTGCTAGTAGGGTTTGCATACTGATGCTAACTTACTACAACAAGCTGTTCATGTTTATTTGATGAAAGATAGCATTTTTGGTAGAAGGCAAAAAATTTAGGAACAAATTATTTTGGCAGGGTTAAGAACAAATCCTACAAACTGGCCCATACTACTCAAGGAATCAGTCTACTACTCACTGTATCTTAAAGTAATAATCAGGGTTTCTGTCTTTTAGTGAAGATAAAATGCAAGAACTTTTCCTGGAATTTCAACAATGTTCATCGGTAAATTCAAGGATCGTAAAACCGGAAACATTTTTGAAAATGGCATGCATTTTGCTTTTTGAAACCCTCGAAATCAATAGTAGGTGATGTTCAAGTATTATCAGCACAGCTGGAAAGAGATTGCAGGAGTTTCAAGGACCTGCCCAAATTTTCATGAGTACTGTAGGTAACCGTTCAAATGTCTTATTTTATTTTTTGTAAGCTTTTCTAAGCAGTATGCTGCAAGTTAATTTTTCTATAAATGAACCCGAAATTTCATGTTTTTAACAACGTAGGAGTTTAATTGGAAACTTGAAGAAAAACGTGTTCACAGGAACCCACACGACACTTGAATGCTGCCAACATACAGAAACGTACTTACGAGGCTTACAGGCACAAGACAAAGGAAAAAAATGGAATTACCCCCCCAATATGGAGAGTTTTCATTCATTTTAAGTGGGATCCTAGCAAAAGATGCCAGGATCTGCTTACGTTTATTAATAGTTGGCAATACATTGGCGAATTCAAATTTATAAAATTTATATACTTTACAAACCAAAACATAACTTAGGCCAAAGAAAAAATAGTTATGGTTTCTGGTTTCATGACCCTACCTAGCCTTTGGCTAACTGAAATCACATGGGCCTAATCTTTTTATCTGAAGTTTGCAAAGAGTTTAGAGCAATTTTTCATACCCAGTTTGTGGCATTAGTTTTGTACTAGTTATAGAAAGTGCAACCTGTTTGTTTCAAAGCTGATATAACATTTAACAAATGTTTGTGTCATCTGTACTTTCGTAATTTACATAGAATTATCACTCTCATACACGAGCATTTATAAAAAAGAAAACCCGACCTACCCTACCTAAGTTTTTGCAACAAGAAATAGGTAACCCAGGTATTTATTTTTTTGGCCCAAAAACTTTTTGTTCTTATGCAAAGTTTAGAATATATTTTCCTTTAAGTTTGAAACTTTGAATATGTAATTGCAACAATGTTAGTGTATTTGCTTTTCTTTTTTTATTTAAAATTGCATCAGAAAATACTAAATGCTGGTTGGCAAAAACTTTTTGACTAAGATGACAATAGGTCAGCCATCATGTTGGCATTTGCCTACTGATGGCCAGGGACGTCGCGAAGCCATCAACACTGGGGAGGAGGGGTCGTCGTCATGTTTTGACCAATATTTTCAGGATAAGCTACTGTAGGCTCCCAATTTTTTCACTGCAAACATAACAAAAGCTTTAAAATTGTTAAAATTGCGAACCATTTCACAACTTTGACCTACTTCGACCATCTTTTATCCCAAACTTTTACCAAATTTTACCGAGTTTTACCTTCAATTTTAAGCAAATATCAGTTTCAGTTTGACCAAATTTGGGCAAATATCAGTTCTATTTTGACCAACTTTGACCAACGTTTGAATTATTGGTGGGATGTTACACCCCCCACTCCCCCCCTATAGCGACGTCCCTGCTGATGGCCTGAATTCTGAAGTTTATTGTTGAATGAGCAAAGGGGGCACCAGCATGCTAATGAGGAGGGGGCACCAGCATGCTAATGAGGAGGGGGCACCAGCATTCTAATGACTGACCACCTCCTCTTTAAATGCAGCCAGATATGGGGCGTTAGGAAAAGCTGATAAAACTACAAGTTCAAAAAGGAAGCAACTGGGGGAATTATTTTCATCAGCCTAGAAAATTTGAGCAGAATACTGTATTTGAACATTTCAAGTGAAGACCCTTCAGTTGAAATGTCAAATACTGTGCTTATATTTTTAGGCTGACAAAAGAAAACAAGGAAATACCTGAATTGCTTCTCTATGAATACTGCAATTGCCGGATTATCATGATTACAATCAATCTCGTTCCCCGAGCCTGCGATCCTCGGGCAGGAACACGAGGCTCTGGGATAATCTGTTGCCAGAAGCCAGGAATCCTGGCTAAGATTGAACTACGCATTCCATTCCGGCCAATCAGATTCCTTCCTGAAATGGATTATCCCAGAGCCTCGCGTTCATTCCCGAGGATCGCAGGCTTGGGGAACGAGATTGGATTATAATCAAAATACAAGTATTGACTGACCAATAATCTGTAAGGTATCATGGCGATTTTGTGTTGATAAGTAGGCGGCTGCGGGAAGTGTGGTCCAGGGATTCTTAAAGTCATCCAAATTAATCAGTGCATATTGATTAGATAATAACACAACCAAGTTATAATCTATCACTACTTTCATTCTTCAACAAAACGACTTCATGATTCAACATGGCAAATAACTAAATCAGTTTTACAAAATTGTATGTAGTTTTCTCAAATAATCAGGACATAAAGTAGACCTGCTTGAGGAAAAATAACTTTGTTTGAAACCTTAGTGTGGAGGAAGGAGGGCAGAATTGATGTTTCACATATGGAAAAAAGTAACCGGTGGTAAATCTTGTGCCACTTGCCAGAGCTCTGGCGGCCGCAAGCTTATTTTGAAAGCTCTGTATTGGTAGACAATTGGTGTAAAACAGATTGTTAAAAATGATGTTCACTCCTGTGCGCATGCACAAACCTTGTTTATGTTTTGAACTGCTATGTTTGTAAAATATGATATACTATCTTCCAGTTCACAATACTTGTAAATGAATATAAATTCAAAAAAGTTTGAAAGATGCAAAATTTGGGACAAGACAATTTATTTGAACCCACTTATATCTGGTTGGGGGCCCCCCTTTTGTTATGAGCAGAATAGTGCTGTGCGCCGGAGTTCTGCCGGAGCTCCGGCGGTTTTTCCGACGTCGGAGCAAAATTTTGTATGCCGGAGCCCGAGTTACGTATTCCCAGCTCCGGCAAAATGACAAGAAAACAATATGAAATGAGACAAATGTCAAACGATTGTTAGTTACTGCGAACTGCCAATTGCTGTTAATGAATTCATCATAGACTTGAACTGCCACAGCCCACAGGAACAGCGTCGAAAAGCTGTAATACGATCGCAACTTACAAACGTCATGCTTTCATGAAGCCATCTGACTTAGCGCTACATACTGTAGTCTGTGCATTCATGCCTTGTAGATAACGAAAAAGTACAAAACAAATAAATATCAACCTTTTGAAAATGACAGAGTACTTTGTTTGCGTGCAAACAATTGCGCTGTGTAGTCTGAGAGTGTTAGCGTCATGCCTCGTGTCAAAGATTTTTCGAGGCTGGTTTCCATATAGATATTTTCCGCCTGGTTAAGTGTTTTCACTCTTTTGTTTCCTGAGTTACGTTATCTGATAATTAGGAAGCGCGAAAAGGGTTATTCATAATAATATTAATAAATGTTCTCTGATCGTAAAACATTTATTTAATATTTTATGATGTGGCCGGAGCCGGAGCTCAGAGCTGTAATTCGACCGGAGATGAAAAACCAGAGTTTGCACAGCACTAGAGCAGAACGGAGTGGAAATCATCTTTAAGAAAATAATACTTTAAATTACGGTATACACAATGCGCTTTAATACCTGTTGCATTTTAATTAAAGCAATATGTTGTCACGACAAAATTAATGATGAAGTGTGCCATTTATGAACGGTTTTAATAAGAAACTTTGGTTGTCAAGCAGAACTTTACCACCTCATGTTGGAAATTATAGTTTAAAGATTGAAAGCACTGACTGACATTATGATGTCATTATTAAATTGGTATAATTGGGTAGATTATCGCATGAATAATCAGTAATTTCTGATTATGGCAATCACTAAATACAAGATCCTTTCATATTGCATTTTGTATTGTATTGCTGTAGTGTCTACCAAATGGTGAACTTTAGCTGGAATCATTAGCAATAATTTATCATACAAAAGTAAAAGAAACTAAAGCCCGGTCATATGAGAATTGATGAGAGAGTTGGCAGTCACAAATTGGTACAGGGGATATTTAAACCGTACATAGCTTAACAGAATGAAGGTTTGACGAGTGGCCCAACTACATTTTGACTTGTTGGGAAAGCATTAAGAAAAACTAACCCAGGTAACATGATTACCAATTCACATACACTCTCATCCTCATTTGATTCAGATAACGTTCCAAAAAAATCATATCCGCCGTCATCATGTAGTACAGAATTTAATAAATGAAAATGGATTCAGAAGCAGGGGTGGGAAGAATCTTGTATTTTGAATGTAAAACTTTATACTATCATTGGGTCGTTCCAGAAAAGATCCACACTCCCCCCACGGAGGAAATTTCTGCCGTCCGGAGGGGAGAAAAAAATGTTTCTGATAACTAGTAAGTGTATTAGGGCATCTGAAGGGGGTAGGGGAGTTAACATCCAATTTCCTCCGTAGGGGGGTGGGGTGGGTGGGGAGGAGGTATGGATGTTTTCTGGAATGATCCATTTGAATTTGTGGAAATTCCGAGTGGAATTTTTATACATTTATTAGAGCTTATACAATTATTGGCCCTCTTGCAAGAATTGAACCTGTGGTCCTGCAATTCCTGTGCGGCACTGGCCTCCGTAGCTCAGTCGGTTAGAGCACTGCACCAGAATCTCAGGGCCGAAGGTTCAATTCCTGCTGGAGGGGAGGGCCAACAGTTGCATTTTTTGCAACTACTCCTGATTAGGTCTAAAATTCCACCAGAAATTTCCATCTAGAAATGAGAAATCCCTTCGACATTTTGTTATATCGAGTGATTGGGTCATTCCAGAAAATATCCATACCACCCCCACGGAGGAAATTGGAAGTTAACCCCTCTGTCTTAATTTCCTCTGTGGGGGGAGTGTGGATCTTTTCTGGAACGACCCATTGTGCCCAAAATCCTGATATTTATCCATGCTTAAAATATACATTATATCCAAAACAATGAACTTTGCTGGAATTCTGAAAATGATCCAAGGTGCCAGTCCTGTCATAATTATTATGAGATATTTTTACAGAGAGGAAGTAACAGCAATGTAATGATGTAATCGCCATTAGCATTGCAATACCTCAAATTGCATAATATTAGAATTGCCAATTTCACATTACACTTTTAAGGTAAAATTTGAGTTAAGCAATAAGAACAAAACCACAAACGAATGAGTTCAAGTTTAATATTGAAGGCACTTTGTACAAGACATCCTTAAAATTGGCAAAGACGTGTCCTGTGTGTTTATTAGGTACATGCCATGCTGTTGGACTCATTCGTTTCCGGTTTAAGTTTAATACGAAATATGAAAATCGAATATTTGGTAGCAGTTTGAAATATACTATCAATTTGTACTTACCCTTTAGCTTTAGATTCGGTATTTGCAATATTAAAATCCATTTCATCACAGCTTTCGGCACCCGAGCTACATTCGGTCGCATCAGAGTCGCCCACATGTTCAGCAAGCTCAAGTTGACAGACTAATGTTCGAGCTGCATTGCCTTCGGCTTCCTTATCATTGTTGCTCGAAATATTCCTACCAGATTCACTTTTGAGATTATTCTCCCCCAATTCGGTATGTTTACCGACGTTCTTCTGCCCTGACGAGGCATTCGAAGGTAGTTCCTCTCCGATACGAGCCAATGACTTGGACGGCGTGTCACTCGAAGAAGTTTCTTCCTGCAGTTGACTCGAAGGCTGTGTTAATAAGTCCTGTTTCGGTTGCTCGTGTTTTTGCCGAGAGGAAGCTTGTTGGGACTTTCTACGATTCAGAGCGAAGGATTGTAGTTGATCTGTGACGTGAGTTTCCAATTGCCGTGACTGCAATGTACGCAGTCTTCGTTCCAATTTGCGGCAACGAGCAGCAATACGTGCTTGACTCAGACCAACATTTTTCACTTTTTTCTCCAACAAAAGTCGCGGCGAGGGCTTTGGACAAGGAAACAAATGTCTCTGTCGCGATTCATCATCACTTTTATTGTCCGAAGTCTGACAGCTACTTCGATTCCTCGGCGAGTTCGAACCACATGTTTTTGTTGTTGTTATTGGGATCCGGGTGGGCGTAGAAATAAGCGTTTCTTTTCGAGCAGAAATCGGCTGAATTTGTTCCCTTGCGTTTGTATTCTCCCCACAAGAGGCTACAGGCACAATTTGGCTATCAAGTTTTCTTAATTTTGTTGATTCCGGAGTGTTATTAACCGTGTCAGGCAAGTTGTTCAACTTGTGTGACTCGTCTAACACACGCTTGCCAGCAGAGGACTTTATATTACTCTTTGCCATAGATCGACAAAAGCCGTTGTGATGCGACGTTGTAGACTTTATCTGCAGCTTGGAGTTGTCTATCGTTCTTCCTTCTTCGATATACGTTTCTCTCAAGGGATTTTGGACACTCGAAGATGAAATATTGCGGTTCGAACTTGGAGACGCTGCTGTTTCGGCGAGCGCGGGAGCCATTTGCGCCATTCACCATGCCGTACGATAGGTGTGGATTTTGTTGGCGATATTATATAATTTTACTCTCATGACAACACTACAACAAGCAAAAATAAATCCTTCCACGTTAAATATTCTTATTTACGAAAGCAAATTGTGTCCACTGCAATAAATATCGATCCAAAAAATTTTGAACTCCGAGCACGTGACCGCCACGTCCTTTTGGCGTAGAATCGAATTCTCGTGATGAAACACGCCGTATGTCGCCTATTGCAAAACACGGTTTTTTCACTCGGAAAATAAACCACTAAAATAGACTCGTCGATAGTTACCAATAGCAGGAATTTATAGATGAATGCCTTTAGAAACTTTTCCAAGTGTTTATTAGTCACAGCGCGCCGGTTATCGGCCTTCCCAAGCGAAAAGAAATTCAAGCAAATTGTTAACAATATGGCGGCTGAAATATCTTCGCTTCGTCTCGATTTTCACAATCACATGGCCAGTTGTTTCAATACAAGCAACCACCCTCCAGTTCTGCCATCTGATTGGTCCAAAATGACGTATGGCAATCATTTGAGTGCATGTTGTGAGAAGATGTCGGCCGATCAGATGAAATCCGCAAAGATTTGAAACAAATTTGCTTATATTTCGATTACAAACTGTAAGCCTTTGGAACTAGAAACAAAAATACAAAATAAAAACAATTAGAAAGCTTTCGTGATAGCCTAATATGAGAAAAACGCTGCATTTTGTTAAAAAATCTGCCAATATTCAAAGACTGCTGGAAACAAAATGGCGGCTGTGTTTGTTCGTTTGTTGTCGTTCTCATATTTTATTCCTTCCTAATTTTTCGTGTGACGTTATAGATTTGATAAAAACATGTCATTAAGGAATTTGAAAGGACCAAATCGTACTTCATGGATAATCTTTTGGTTGGGAAGCTCCCCTACAAAATGTTTCAATTAGAAATAATCAGCGCAAATTTATTAAGACGGGGGGTGCAAACATTACATTACCAGTTCCGATTTAGATCATTTGAGAATTGAGATAATCGAATTTTTGGCAAAAACCGTCAATGACGTTTCAGAATGTGAGATGGCAATCAAATATTAAATCCAAAATAATTCGAAAACCTGTGACACAATCAGTGAATGAGAGATTTCTGTCATTGGTATTCCAGGAAAATATGGATTAGTAAACAAGGTTCCTTGCTAATAAAATTCATGCGAATTACTCGGATAATTTTTTCCACTAATTTGGCAAAAACAATGACGAGATTTGGGCACTTCAATAATACCACGGTTGCTTTAACAGTTTAGATGTCCCAAAAGGGTAGATAAGTGGCAGAACTGCCTGTCAAGTGTTGTGTTTCATTCAAAACCGCAGATAACTCACCCGAGTTGAATTTGGCTGACGAAAACTGCAGGAACAAACCGCAACTTCACATCTTGTCACAGGCATTTCAGGTTACCTATAAAAAGACAAAAGCATAGAAATGTAACTTTAATATTAGTAAAAATTTAAAAAACCCAAATACCTCTTCACAAGAACTGCGATTTTCGTTAATCATTGTCAGTGTCATTCAGGTGTCCGCTGGTATGTTAGCCGCAGGCGCGAGCATTGTTGCTCAACTCCTGAAGGAAATTTTGACTTGCGAAAGGCCAAATAAGGAAATTTTCATGGTCTGAAAAAAGTTCTTCACTATATATTTAGAGTTAAATGCAAAACACCACACATCTTTCAACCTTTGGTATTACAGTATAATACTATAAAAGTGCTAACTCGATTTAGAGGAATTCAAATATAACAATTTTGAAATTTTCAAGGAAATTCGTCAAATGAACTATGGAAACACCCAGGCCTGCGAACGCCCGACAACTCAGCGTTGCCCGAATATATAGCACATGGATGGCGAAATTAAAATTCATTGACATTTTCATTGTTTTTCTTCAATTTTCATGCATTTCCTGCCATGAAAATGATTATAATGCCGCGTATGGAGCTGGCAACGAGAACTCGCTAAATGTTGGCCAGGTTGTTTCAGGAAAACAGTATTTAATTTATGATGTTAATCCCGGGGAAGGCTTCAATTTGCGACGCGACGTGTACCTCAGGGCTGCAAATTTGGTTAAAATATTGAACGAGATTAGCAACTGGACACTTGTCGTGCCGCCATGGCGACGTTTGTACCATTGGAAAACGCACGATATCGAGCAAAATGCGATCCCGTGGAAAACGTTCTTTGATATGAAAAGCTTGAATCGCTATGTACCTGTTGTTGAGTTTGAGGATTTTATCAATGAAACAGGTAGCCCAGGCATCGAACAAACAATATATTTGCAACGGTATAAAGAGGGATGGACAAGTGGGGAATGGGAGGAGAAAATAGATGAACGAGAATGTCTAGATACCCCCATTTACAGGTACGGATCATCTTCTTTATATCCTCTACACTGACATAAGGCCTCTCCAAATTTAACTTTAGTTTCCCGTCCGGCCCTTATTTTAAATTACACATGCACATGGGCCCAGGGTGCATTCCATCTAAACTCTTAACGCTAAAGATATGCCAATATTACATATAGATAGTATTATAATTTGCCAAACTCACGTCGGATATCTTTGCACTTTTGTACACAGAATGCACCCTGGGCATGGGCAGGTGGTCCATATTTTCCAGGGTGCATTCCATGCAAAGTCTACACCGAAGATACGCCAATATTAACTATAGATAGTATTGTAATTTGCCAAACTCGTAGGCCACTTAAAATGCACCCTGGCATATTTTCCATCATCGATTATATTCATTATGGTTTCTGAAAAAATCAAACACAACCCATTATTCCATGAAATAGAAATGTTTTGGATTTTTTTGTATGCAGAAATGAAATCCAGGATATTAGCCATTAGTTATCATTTTTCTATGTTCAAAAATCGAAACATGTAATTAGATTTAGAAGTGTTTATTTTAGCTCCTGGCAGGCCTCGAATTTCCCTGAAATCAATCGACGGCAGTGGTGTTAAAAATTGCCGTAGAACGTAACAGCTGTCTACGGCAATTTTGGCAGTTTCCACAGCATTTTTCAAATTACCAGGGCTCGAAACTTGCGGTATCCCGATATCCACAGGATATCAGATTTTAATTTTGGATACTGGGTATCATAAGCTCAGTATCCCAACTGAATACTAGGAAAACTTAGAAATTGCGATAGTAGATACAGCAATTTTCGTCCAAGCACAAACCGCAAACATTTTCGCGCGTTTGTTTACGTTTGAAACGTGGCGTTTACCGTTGGAAACGGAATGTTTCACTGCTCATGTGACGTGTTATAGTGAAAAGCCTAATTCAGTTATTTTTCATGTTTTTATGTGCTTTCGTGTACTTTTCAGTATTTCCAAGCTCACGATATTGTAAGAGCGACCAAACTTGTTTATATTCATACTTTTTGTGACTAAAACGTATTATCATGGGCTTGGAAATATTGAAACGTGCACGGAAGCACATCAAAACATGACTGTTGCGCCAAAAATAGCTTAAGGCTTTTCAATGTGACACGTCACATGAGCGGTGAAACATTTCAGTTTCCAACGGTAAACGCCCCGTTTCAAACGTAAACAAACGCGCGAAAATGTTTGCGGTTTGTGCTTGGACGAAAATTGCTGTAATCATCTAGACATTGGGCATGTTTCCGAACTTCAATGTCTACGGATTTTGGCAGAATATTTAAAAAAAAAATTTCACAAACGGTGCTTTCTTTTGTATCGCCGCAGTGTGTTATTTTCAATTTTTTCGAATTTCAATAATGCCTTTGCCTTGCTTAGATACTGGAAATAGAATATCTAGTATCCAAATCTGGGTTACTATATTTCAAGGATGGATACTAGATTCTATGATGCTGGTATCCACTTGGATACTGACAAAAATTTCAAGTTTCGAGCCCTGAATTACTGTAATAAAACTTTAATTTTATTGTTACTTTGGATTTTTGACAAGCTAGAAACATGTCTACGTATTTCTTTAGTGTTTTTTTTCGAAGAAAACTGAGATTAAAATAGTGATTTACGCATGATTTGATCAACATCTGAATTCAAGTATCAAAGTAGTAATGCACAGTGAATAGTATAAAAATTGCACTATACGGCAAAAAATTGCAATGATCAACGGCATTTTGTTCTCCCTCTACGGCAATTGCCGCGATAAAGTTCGAGCCCTGGCTCCTGGCGGTTACCCTATTAAAAGCGAAAACAAAAACAACAATTTATGGTCTTTCATAAAAGTTATTTTGATTTTTTCATACAGTATTATATTATGTGCCGATCGAAATGAAGGTGTAACATCCCTCCCCCTGGGCATATACCCGGGCATTTGACTTTTTGGATTTTGCAATGATCAAATTCCCCATCTCAAGTAAAAAAATAGGTACGCTATGGCGTACATGTATCTACGCAAAATATTGACAGTTTGTGGTCACTTTTGGTGTAGTTGTTGAAGTTATTATTAATGGAGTAATTGTTGCATAATAGGTAGTGGACAGGTGTGTCTTTGATACATGACACAAGGCATTATTACAGAGTATATGTACCATATACAGAGGTTGGACTCAGTTAAAAACTTGTACCAGCCACCATGCAGAGCTCTGTTATGCAGTCATGCAGTTGCCATGTTCTGTAGCCAGTGCGGTAATAAGAGGCGTTCACACTCCACCCCCACCCCCCTGAACGCCTGTCATTCATAATCTCTCCTTAGTGCACATATAAGAACATGGCGGCAGTTGCGCCAACATCAAAGGTTTGGACAAGGAGTCAGATTTCGATCTGTTTATGTACTCTGTGGCATCATGTTTGATTCCTCTGCCTGCCCCCCACCACCACCACCAAACCTTTTAAAAAATTAGTTTGTGAGATAGAACTCATAACAAAATTATACTGTAAATTGAAAGTAAATAAATACTAATTAAACACACTTTAATTAACAGGGCTGCAAATAAATATTTGATTTGACGTCGGACATAAGTTGAATTTGGTCGGACATATATACGTCACAAGATATATATAAGTCACAATACTAGTATGTATATAGCCATTCTGGCACAACATTAAGTAAAATGCTAGAACGCCTCGTAAATTTTATTGCAAAATGCAAATTGAGTGAATTTGCAATCGGTTTATGATGAGAGCTAAAATCAAGTGCGTAGCAAGATGACCAGGCGGGAGGGAACTGACGATGCTTATAAGAAGGCAAGCAATCACCCACGGCTCTATCTAAACTGAGGGATTAATGTATTATGTAACCTCTGATGTTGCTAATAAGATATATCAAATGATGATTGTCCCTATAGTAACCTACAGTGGGACAATAAAGCTATAATAATTGTACACAAGAACACAGCTAGAGAAATTAGGCAGCATTGAAAAGCGAGCTAAAGAAATTATTGGATGGGAAATAAACATACCGTCGACGTATCTGCATAAGTTAATGAAAATGAAAGCTTGTATGATTGTAAAAAAATGTCTGATAAACGACATATGTAGTAACTTCTGCGGATATTTTCAAGTTAATAACCATGATAAAGGCACAAGAAATAGTGCTATCCTAGTAAAGCTGCCAAAGGTAAAACTTGAGTTCAATAGGCAAGCCTTTCGATTTGCGGGTGCTAAAAATATATAACGAGCTCCCAATTGAAGTAAGGAACATTGAAGACATTAAATCCTTTAACCGTGCATTGGTCAAACATTTCAGTCAAACATTTTAGTTAGTTTTAGATAGATGTGTAGTTTTTAATATTGAACTGGTGTTATGTAGGTTTAATTTGTATTATTCTAAGAATTTTTAGATTGTTAGTATAAAGAGGATGCATGTTGATAACAGTAGTATTACTGAAATGCTTATCCTCTGTAAATATTCTTAAATAAATAAATAAATATAATGTGACAATATATTTTTTTAATCGGACCAATGTCCGATCAAAATTACTTCTGCTCGGACATTTGCCAAATTTAGCCGGACATTGTCCAATGTCCAACAGTAATTTGCAGCCCTGATTAAGAAATTTATCTTTGAACTGATGAATGAGGCATCCCCAGCTAAACCTTCAAAAGAAGTACCCCTCCTAAAAGCATGCTAGTACTTAGTTAAAAGCCATCAATAATTGCAGATTGTCACTATTATACTACACAATGATTAAACTATGGCTAAATTTACAACTGACAATCAATCCAATTTCCATAAGTTGCAATAATTATAACTCGTAAATTATGTGATGGACTATTGCTGCATCAGCCTGCATGTATTGGCAAATATTGTTTGAATAAAAAAATTAAGCTGGTTGCCAAAGGATAGATATACCTAACTATCTAAGGGATATGAACTTTTATAATCAAACTATTTATGCATGTGAATGCATTTATGTGAAAGCAGGCCTGCCATATTATCATGGCAAATATTATCAAAATATTAAAAATTATAGCAAATCATTTAGATTTTGGTGATGCCAAGTCTTATCATTGATACTAATTAATGTCTGCAGCAAACAAAGTTTTTAAGTACTCGGCTATAAACAACACTCAACGGACATGTTCACACACTGAACGAATAACACTAGTATCTCGTATATTTCTTACCTTATTTTATACTCTGCGACTCTGCTTCAGAAACATTTAGAACATGTAGTGGTAATCAGCCTCAAAGTTTATATCATAGATGGATTTTGTGGGGGGGAGGGTGCAGGGGGGTGCTACCCCCCCCCCAATATTAGCTATAAGCCCCCCAAACAAAATATC